AGACAGAAAATCAGTCTGAGCGTGACGTCGGGCGCTGCGTAGCCACTGCAAATTGATTTGTTCCTTTTGGCTATAAAAAAGGTTCCGATCAGATCCAGATTCAGCAATCTGATAGATATGGTTATTATGTATGATTCTGCGTTTTTAGTGGGGGCGGAAGGTGGTGTGGCGAAATTTGGAAACAAACTCGTCTCGGTGCGATATATTAGGGGTTTGGATACCAAATTTGGTTGCTCTAGCTTTTATAGTCTCTGAGATCTAGGCGCTAATGTTTTACTCTAAGCAAAGCCGGCTATGCTACGTGTGTGTTAGACAGAGACAGGGTGAGAAAAATGAAATTGTTTTCTTGATGCTGGCTATAATAATAATACGATCCAATTCAGATTCAGCAGTCTAAAAGATATGGTCATTCTCTACGATTCTGTTTTTTTGGTTTTCTCGTATGTTTAAAATTGTGGATGCCATAGATTTTCGTCCTTTGTGGGGGCGAAAGTGGGCGGGGCGAAGTTTTGAAATATTCTTGTAGCAGTGACATATCACAGAAATCTGGATCCAAAACATCGTTGCTCTAGCTCTTATAGTCTTTGAGCAATAGGCGCTAATAGGGACGGACAGACGGACAGACAGACAGGGCTCAATCGACTCGGCTATTGATGCTGATCAAGAATATACATATATACTTTATGGGGTCGGAAACGATTCCTTCTGGACGTTACACACATCCATTTTCACCACAAATCTAATATACCCCAATACTCATTTTGAGTATCGGGTATAAAAAAGCAGAATGGAATTTAAAATAAAATATTTTATGTGGTATCACACTATATACATTTTTTTATTTCGAAAATGTACCACGCCCATTACCGCCCCCACAAAAGGAGAAAAACTTTTGCGTCCACAATTTTGAAGATGCAAGAAAACAAAAAAAGCGCAGAATCGTAGAGAATGAATGCCAGACGGAACAAATTAAATTTTTTCAGTTCCTCCTCATTCTCTTTCTCACTAATTCAGGCCACTGTGCAGTATTTTTTTTTTATTTTTGGAACTTAATCCGATTGAAAACCTTAGGTCACTCGTGAAACGACTGCTTGGGCAGTACGAATGAGCGCCATCTAACCTAGGCGATCTCTGAGGACATGTACATAGATGCGAAATGTAATGGTATTCCAAAAAATATTTTTGGTAACTTGATAGATAGCATTCCATACCGTATTAAAAAAGTAATATCGAATATGGGTCTATGCACAAAATGTTAATATTATGATTTTCTTTAATTTGTATAAAAAGTGCAAAAATTAGTACATAAGCGTTTTTTTGGATTTTATACCCGATACTAAAAATGAGTATTGGGGTATATTAGATTTGTGGTAAAAGTGGATGTGTGTAACGTCCAGAAGGAATCGTTTCCGACTCTATAAAGTATATATATTCTTGATCAGCATCAATAGCCGAGTCGATTGAGCCCTGTCTGTCTGTCCGTCCGTCTGTCCGTCCCCTACAGCGCCTAATGCTCAAAGACTATAAGAGCTAGAGCAACGATGTTTTGGATCCAGACTTCTGTGATATGTCACTGCTCCAAAAATATTTCAAAACTTTGCCCCGCCCACTTCCGCCCCCACAAAGGGCGAAAATCTGTGCCATCCACAATTTCGACGATACGAGAAAACTAAAAACGCAGAATCGTAGAAGATGACTATATCTTCTAGAGTGCAAAATCTGAACCAGATCGTATAATTATTACAGCCAGAATCACGAAAACAATTTCACTCTTTCTCGCTCTGTCTCACTCTAACACACAGGTTTCATGGTCGGTTTTGCCAATTGCAAAATATGAGTTCAAGGATCTCAGAACCTATAAAAGCCAGAGCAACCAAATTTGGTATCCACACTCCTGTGATATCGGACCTTGACCGTTTCATGTCCAAATTTCGCCACACCCCCTTCCGCCCCCGCAAAGGACGAAAATCTGAGGCAACCACAAATCTCAGAGACTATTAAGGCTAGAGTAACCAAATTTGGTACACACACTCCTTTAAGATGTCACTATAAAACGTATATCTCAGAATTTCGCCCCACCCCCATCCGCCCCCACAAAGGACGAAAATCTGTTGCATCCACAATATTGCAGATTTGAGAAAACTAAAAACGCAGAATCATAGATAATGACCATATCTATTAGATTGCTGAATCTGGATCAGATCAGATCATTTTTATAGCCAAAAGGAACAAATCAATTTGCAGTGGCTACGACGTCACGCTCAGACTGATTTTCTGTCTCTCTCGCACGCACTCTTTGTCGTGTCGTTAAATATTAGCGGCGTCTGCCGGAGGAGAGCCATACTGACTTAGTATCGGGTATAACCGTAGAGTTGCGGTGTCCGCAGCAACTCACAACGTTCCCCCTCGTTTATTTTTCATTCTTTGAAAAATTCTTATATTTATTTATATATAAAAATTGATTTATATGGGGAAAAATTTGGTTTGCTTGGCTTTATCCGTTTGGCTGTTATGGGCGGCGAAAATCAGTAATTATGAGTATGTACTCACTTTTGCTCCCCACTGCATGTGTATGTACATATGTGTATGTACATAGTATGTTCATGGTATGTTGTATGTAATAGTATGTAGTTGCAAGGAATTTTCACATAGACTCATATGCGCATGCGTAATTCAGAGATGTTTCGGTTAACCTATTTTATAGCATGCATGCTCTAGTGTATATATTTTAATGCATATGTAGATACAAAGTAGGTGGGTATATATAAACGTACATATGTATCTCCTTTGTAGCCTGTTATATATTTGACATAGATACATACATATGTCCATACTTAATTGTCATTATAAAACTATTATTTTTTATGTCATTTCTAATTTAAGTATTTATTTGTATGTACAACATTATTAAATGGAAATACAGAAGAACATTGATTTTTCCCAAACACAAGCTTTGGGGCGTGTTGTATGTTATTGTGTTTCTAACTTTTCAGAGAACATGAGAGAGCGCGCAGGTCGATAGATAAAAGAGTAATTCGGCGCAACTAAAGGGAATACAGGGCTGATGCTAGTGTTATACTGTTTTGGCATTTGCTTTGCCATTAAACGACTCAGAATTATGTCACACAAATTCCATCCAACATACTTGCATCTATTTGTAAGAACGAAAAGAACAACTCACGAAAACAAATAAACAAACAAATAATTATCCTTACGGCTTAATTGGGATTTGGTTGATTCACCAAATGTTCCAAAACGATAAATATATCTACTTATGAACATTTTCATCTCATGCATTTGTATAACTTTACATTGATTTTATAGTGAGTTTATTAAGTCGAACTCTAGGTCTACTTTTGTTTACCATTTTTTACCATTTATTAATACTATAATTCTATTTAATAGTTACATAAATGTGATTTTGCATAATATAATTTTTCAACGCATATATCTTGCCATATATCGAACTCTTTTTCGATGAACTTTTTGATCGAAAACTACGTTCGGTATATATGTATATTGCGAATAAGAATCAATATTCAGGTATTTTTGACCTTAAAGAAGTGCTTTGGAGATTCATGTATGTACATAAGCAATAAAATTGTATGAATGAACATTTTCACATAACCATCTGTTAATGCAGCCATTATAATCACATGTGTATTTAAACATTCCGGGACCACAAGAATATGATGGCTGTCAAAAAGCTGCTATAGGATTGATTGATCGGTCACGAGATCAATCTTGTATCTTTTAAGATACAGGGAAATTTAATGAGCATCAGACAACATAATATAATAAAGCTTAATCTATCAGGCTGCGCAGGTATTGAAAAGTCCAGTACCCAACCTTTTTTGATATTTTTCTTATACGTGTAAATATGTACATACATATATGTTTACTTACTTGCCCACGAAGTTTTCCAGCACGGAACTCTTTCCTGCCGATTGGCCACCAACAACGGCTATCTGAGGCAAATCTAATTGCATGTGAACGCCGAGCGATGTGAACGCATCTTGCAGCTTGTTAACAATAGGTATCAAGTTGTCCATAGTGAAAAGAGTGGGGTATCTTTGATTGTTTATTGGAATCGGCTTTAATTACGATATAACGTTGTCGCAATTTATAATTTAATAGCTTCTACGTAGCTGCGCAAAGCAGACTCCTACGTCTGTCTTTATTACCGTTCTCCTCTGTTCTAGACTAGCTGACTCTTGTTGTTTTTAAATATTGATTTAAATGAGATCTGGAATTATCTATTTTTCCACTCACTATATTATACTTTTATTTCACTATAACAGGCACTGCCAGTACTGAAAAATGTATGCTATTATTAATGAGAGAGAAAACAACTTTTTTAGCATGAATTATTTATGAGCTTAATATTGTTCTTGGAATATATGGACAATACACAGCCATTAATCCTCACGTAAAAATGACACGTTAACTCGTTAACACGATTGTAAAGGTAGTCTTTTAGCTTGATAATGAAAAAAGGAGTAAATTATAAACAAGTAAAATTTCACGATAAATTTGAATACACATTTATAAAAATTTATTTGCACATGTATGTACATGTCATTTTATCACAGGAAAAAAAAACCCTCAGTGGAAGTGCAAGCTTAAAGTAATAAGCGATAAAGTAGAAATCGCAAATGGCTTGAAACAATTCTGAGCAAACAAATATTTATTGGGTATAAAATATTGGTTTTTTGCACATAAACCATAAAAATGAATTGAATAACATAGAATTCTTTACGAATTGATGACCGTCGCCCAATTCGTTCAATGATTTTTTTTCAACTAAAATAAGGGATGCAAAAAGTAATTATCAACTACATATATTCCTATGGAATTTTATCGAAAATACCACTCTGATGCATACAAAACACCACCTACATATCAGCAGCAGAGCAGTGGTGTATTTAGATTAGCTCACTCGATATCTGTCAATTTTAACAATCGGAAGTGACTTGCTCGAGCTATGTGACAGCAAAGTTCTTTTCGATTGAAAACTTGAAGACCACAGTTGTGTTTTTCCTTGCATTTCACGTTTCGTGTCAAAATCTGAAGACTTAAAAGTAAGTAAAGATATTGTTACAAAAGAAGTAGAAAATAAATCGCAAACTTTTGAATTAATAATCAAATCAGAAGCCCACTCGATGTTTGCGGATTATTTGGATTGAACATTTTGACGCAAATTGAATTTAATACTTATATATATTTTTTTTTTGAAGCATGCGTTACGTGGCTGCATACTTGTTGGCTGTTATCGGCGGAAAGGAAGCCCCCGCTAATGCAGACCTTGAGAAAATTCTCAGCTCTGTCGGTATTGAGGTGGATACTGAACGTCTTTCAAAGGTGATTAAGGAACTCGATGGCAAAAGTATTGAAGATCTGATCAAGGAAGGACGTGAAAAGCTGTCTTCGATGCCAGTCGGCGGCGGTACTGTATCTGCTGCTCCGTCCGCAGGCACTGCAGCAGCTCCAGCTGGTGGGGACAAAAAAGAAGCTAGCAAAGATGAGAAGAAGGAAGATTCCGAGTCTGAGGATGACGACATGGGTTTCGCTCTCTTCGAGTAAACCGACATTGTTGGCATGCTCCCGAAAAGTCGTATATAAAGCAAAACACGTACAATATCATGAGGTTATATCACAAAAAATAAAAATGCGTTGCGGTACGTATATTAATTTATTTTTTGTTTTGTTAAACTGGCTGTAAATAGGTGTGATGAACCAAAAACTTCACCATCTTTCGACTGAAAAATCCATTGATGCTTGAAAAGTTTTCACTGATCATATGCCGCCACTTTCAACAGTTTTATTGCTAAAAACTACTTGTTTTACACTGTTTTTAAACCCATTTTTTCTTTGTTTCAGAGCAGTCGCCATCTGAAATAAAGCTTTAATTTGCAGCTCGCGATTAAAAAATGTATTTCATAGCCCAGAAACATTTTGAATAGCTCAGTCATTTGAACCTTTATTTCCGTGAAATAAAATCTGAAGTGTTAAAACTTTATATACAAAACTAAACCTGGTTTTTTTTTATTTTTCTAGCTTTTAAAATGGGTTAAATAGTAAGATGCAAAGTTATGTATGTTCTGTAATGTATATGTACATAATATTAAAATCTATGCGATATATTAATTAATGTTAAGAACACTTGTTGAATTTTGTATTAATTTTATTTGGATTTAACCCGTACATATAAGTACGATGACACTTTGCCCAATATTTGATTTCTTAAAACGGAAAATATCTAGATATGTATTTGTTAATGACGATATAGAGCTTTTCAAAGCGGATATATGTATATAGCGAAAGACGGCATTTAGTTATAACAGTATGCTAATGTATACTCTACATGGAAGAACATGTATATGGAATATTGACAGCCCCATTGACTCGATGTCCATTATTTTTATCCAGTCAATTGATTTATTTATTGATAACAAATTGAAAAAAATTAATAAAAAAAAATTAATGATCCACTTCGCCCTTGAAAGAACATGTACATGCAGCGTTTTGTGCGTATTAATATTGAAGATGATCTACCCAGGCTTCTTTAAGCTTACGCATTTTGCATATGATCTTGTCAACAATACTGGTATGGTTAAGCTCAAGAACATTTTGCCGCATTTTGGGCCAAGGCATGTACGTTGATAAAACTTTCTGTCTCGCCGAATAGTCCATACCCTTTCTTGTTAATAAGTGTGTATTTAAGTTTAGATTTGAGAGGATACCGCGCAGTTGATAAAGATTGTTAGCCGTCTTGTCGCGAACAAATTTTATACGGGGCATTTTACCCATAAGACGCAGTTGTGTGAGCTCATGTTGGAGTTGACTGCTATAGCGCCACAACTCTGTTTCGAGAGCACCTCCTTCTTGTTCATCTGTGCGGCCCAGCCAATATACATTGATATGGGAGAAGTCGCTTGAAATCTTCACACGGGTAACATGCAGGCCTAGTCCTACAATCGATTGGACTGCCGCTCCAGTGGATAACATGTCTGTGATTTTTGTCATGAACAACTTGTTTAAGACAGATATACGACGGGTGTTGTGCTTTTTGGTATACGGGGAAAAATTTCCAAATGAAGAGCCTTGAAATACAAAGCTCGGTCGCTGAATACCGCCACAACTGACAGCATTATTATTCTCCAAGGGATACCAGCGCTTCTTACTGCCCGTCAAGCGATTTCCAAACAATTTTTCAAGAATTTTGCTCTGGCGTATCACATTATCGGAGTGTGTGTAGGTGACTTTAGTTCGCATATACGGACGTTGAATCTGAGTTAAGACTCTTGCGATGGCATTTTGTGGCGGTAAATAAAATGAGCGTAACATTTAATATGTTATTTATTTCCTGCTCTGCTAAATTTAAATCTTGAAAAACCGTATTATCTACATATAAATACACTGTATCTATATAATATGTAAGCAAAGTATATACATCACAATTAGCGGTGAAACCAATATATCGTAAGTAGTAAAATATATAAATGCAATACAATAAATTGTATACGGTACTCCAGTGAGGTTTTATAAGCTCACACTGACGACCATCTACCATCCATTTCGGGGATGATCCGTAAGGTTTTGCTGTTCCAAAAATTTCCCAGTTCCATCCATTTGGGATGTTCCTGTAACGCACGTTTCTATGCGATATTTAGCCGATGGTTTTCAAATACTACCCTAAAAAACAACGATACAAAATAGGTCGCTCCTAGACATATTTCAAATCGTTCAAGACTAAAACGACTACAAAAAAAATACAGCAAACACGATACAAAATGGAGGACCCAGAAATTGGTGGTAATAAGTACACATGAATGTATTAGCTTTTTTTATGGCATAATACTGCTACGGAACTGCTGATAGAACTGCAGCTCTTGTATTATTTCTACAACCAAGTCGCCGCACTAAACATAACGGCTAGTGTATATATATATGGATTGCTTTATTATAGCCAATAACATAGCAAATTGAATAATTTACAATTGTTTAAATTTTCCAAATTGAAGTGTGGGAATCGAGGTTTCACATCTGTCAAAAAATTCCACGACTCCCCCGTGATGTGATCAGTGTTCAGTGTAAGGGTTGCATTTGAAAACTATCAAACAAACATCGCATAGAAACCTGCGGCTAATAGCCTTTCCAACACAGCACATCTACAGGGAACGGTGGGATTTTTTGACAGATGCGAAACCTATAACAGAACAGCCGGATCGGAGCAACACTTCTGTTGATTTTAAACAATCGGTGGAAAGGATTATATAAGCCATTACAAAATTGCCCAAGCCGTACGAAATAAACAAATTTTTAAAACATTGTTATCTTTCTGTACATACACTGTGCACTCATACCTTTGTGCTTTTTTTGTTGTATTTTTGTTCATTTTGTCACAAACAATTCATACATTTTCGCATTTAATATCTGTTGAGACAACGAGCTTTTTCGCTGACTATGATTGTTCAATAATTTCAAGAATAAATAATTTCCGAATCGTTACAAATTTTATTATAGTTATTTTGAGTGTTGAGGGTGGCCGAAGATGCCAGAGCCTTTTACAATAAAATTAGAGTGATATACTTGGATGAGGCAAGCGAGCCGATCTCGAGCCAAAGTAATAGATTGGGGACAAAAAAGGCCTGTTCTCCAACTATATCAAGCGGTAACTGCTAGAGCAGGCGCAGCTGCTGACGGCTTAGCGACGGCATAGGAAAGAAAAGATAACAAGAGCGAGCATAGATAAAGACCAGATGAATAAATGATAGCAAGTTTCTGAGCGAGCATAGATAAAGCTACGCTTACGTTACGTTAGTTTAGTATAATGACAAAAATGTAAAGGAAAGTGAATTGATAGGCAATAGAACGATGGTACAAAATTCACACTCGGGCTTCGCCCGAACATACTCCCCCCGTGGAAGGATCCATGCCTTTCACCTCATCTCGTAGAGGCAATAGACATAGTTTTGCAAGTGCTCTTCGGCTAACACCTGTAGCCATTCTGATCAAGGCGTCTCAAGATACACCATCAGCTCCTGGGATGAGCTCGAGGATTCTCGCTAGAGGCCACTTCAGAGGAGGGAAGTTCTCGTCCTTAACAAGAACGACATCATTGACGTGAAGCTCAGGATTCCGGTTGCGCCACTTCGTTCTTTCTTGAAGACTGGTTAAATACGATTGGCGCCAGCGAGACCAAAAGATTTGCTGAAGCTGTGTGACCTTCTGCCAACGGTCCAAGCGATCGACGTTTAAATGAACCAAGTCCGGCTCCAAGAAGGTTGTGATGGGGGCGCCAACCAGAAAATGGTTGGGCGTGAGTACATCGAGATCTGCAGGGTTCTCTGAAAGAGGAAACAATGACCTTGAATTAATGATTGCACAGATATTGCACGCGAGAGTGCGCAGCTCATCAAATCCAAGAAGCGATGATCCAAGGGTACGTCGAAGATGATGTTTAGCAAGCTTGACTGACGCCTCCCACAATCCTCCAAAATGTGGCGATCTAGGAGGAATGAAACGCCAATCGATTCAATCGGCGAGACAAGCTTGATGCACGGCTTCTTGATGACTGTCGCTTAGGAATAGCGACTTAAGTTCCGCCAGTTCGTTCCGCGCTCCAACAAAATTTGTGGCATTATCTGACCAAATACGAATCGGTCTTCCACGGGTGCAAATGAAACGGCGAAAAGCAGAGAGGAACGCAGACGTTGTAAGATACTTCACAAGCTCGATGTGAACCGCCTTGGTGGAGAAGCATATAAAAATGCTCATGTAGCACTTTAGTGGGGGCCGGTTTCGAACTTCTGATTTATACAGGAACGGACCGCAATAGTCCACGCCGGTAACTAAAAATGCACGAAATTCGCTGACTCTGTCCACCGGAAGATCTGACATTATTTGCTCAAGAGTTCGAGGCTTCACTTTAAAGCATCTGACACACTTTTGGATTACGTGTGCTACGGTCTTTCGGCCACCGATTGGCCAGTACGGTTGACGAATGATGGCTAATAGCGACTGGGGTCCAGCGTGAAGGTGTTTTTCGTGTAAGTGCCGTATCAGAGCAGAAGTGATGGAATGATTCTTGGGCAATATTATGGGATGCCGTGCTTCGAAGTCCAAGGTAGAGTTTTTAAGACTCCCTCCAACTCGAAGCAAGCCGCAATCATCTAAAAATGGCGAAAACGAGACGATCGAGCTTGAAGCCTTGATGTCCTTTCGCGTTTCCAGGGCTCTTATTTCAGTAGATAGAAGAGATTGCTGAGTAAGACGAAGAAGCAGTTCGGTTCCCAAACGCAAGTCCTCCACAGTTATTCCAGACTTTCGTCGATGAATGAATTTGCATACATACGCAAAAGTTCGTTGACTTTTGGGGAAGGAATTTACAAACTTTGATTCTTCCACCAAATATCTTGACGCGCAGTTTGTAATTAGTATGGTTTTTCGTGCCTCCAAAACCGGCTCTGGAAGAGCAGGCGTACTTGGCCATTGATCCTTACTGGCTGTCAAGTATGTAGGTCCATACTTCCAAAGATGACAATTGATGAGCTCAGCTGGTAATGATCCTCGAGAAAGCATATCGGCAGGGTTTAGATCAGTTGGCACGTGCACCACATAATTCCAACTTGGGTATTGTGATAGTCTTCAGTGGCGCTACACGAGATCTGGAAGATAGAAGATTTTCCTTGACTCCATTGTCGCCTTGCGAAACAGCGTATATGCAAGCTCCATAAGCACTCATGCTGGCATCACAAAATCCATGCATTTCAAGGTTGCTGCTTCGAAGGAACGATAGGCGCGGGAAAGAAATTTGTTGCATAGAGTCAAACTGCTGAATGAAGTTGATCCAAGTTGTGCGTAAGGAGACTGGCAGACTTTCATCCCAGTGAAGCTTTTCTTTCCACAGCTGCTGTATAAATATTTTTGCTTTCGTAATTACTGGCCCTATAAGTCCGAGTGGA